GTTTCTAAGAAAGTATCTGCTATGTCTCGATACCACATTTGAAATACATTATGTTCTACTGTGAAGCATGTTTTCATTCCTGACACCTGTGTCAGTTCTGGATTGACCCCCAATACTCTCTGTCTCTCTGCAGTCTTTGATGATATATTGAGCATCTTGAGCTTTAACTTGCTGGGATCTAAGTGGTTTTTTTATTTATTATTATTATTCCTGAGAATATTTTTGAATTTTGTTCTGGGATACAGTTCTGTTAAGCTGCATTCATCCCTCACTTTAGGATTGTGCTCTTACAGCTGCTTCATGCCAGAAAATCGGCATTTCCTCCAAGGCTAATTATTTCCCACTTCTGAGCCAAGATGATTCTGGGGTTTTGTGGGCTACCTGATGAGAGCCGGCACCAGTCCTGCCCTGTGTAAGCACTGGCCCTGCCCTGTGACCTCTGGTCCAGCCCCCAAACATTCTTATATAGTTCTTTCCAAACCTCAAGTAGTTTATACACACATGCACATACAGTGCACACATACACACACATGCACACACTCACACATATACACGCACATGCACATACACACACACATATACACATGCACTTACATACACACATGCTCACACATGCGCGCGCGCACATACACACACACACAGAGTTGGCTCCTTTCTGAATGACCTGAGAGTCATCTATGCCTGCCCTGAGTTCTTTTTGTACAGCTCTCTTCTCTATGGTTCTCTGTTCTGGACACCTTGGTTTCTCCAGTCCCTACATTCCATATATTTAGCTCCAAAACTGCTGGGTCCTCTCTCATGTATTTTCTCTATGATGCAACCTGGGATCTTCCCCAAGGCATTAAACTGAGGTAACTGTGGTTATTGTATTTGTTCATCATCTTTCATGGGTTAATGACTGTTGCTACTGGCCAACATCTTGGAAACGTGTGTGTGTGTGTGTGTGTGTGTGTGTGTGTGTGTGTGTCTGTTCTTTCTAAATTGTTTGAGTTGTCAGTCCTTTTAGGATAGGATGTAAAAGAGGCCCCTGTTATTCCATCTTTGCTGGAAGCAGAAGTCTTTAGACAGTATTTTCAGTAGCTTTCCCATCAGTTCAGAGAACGACTTGATAACAGGATCCTCTAGTTACTGAATGCCTTCGTGTACTAGGCGGGTGCTCATTCAGATGTTATGTCAATGGAGCAGCTATCGTGTGCAGGCCTAGGCATTGGAGATGCATCACCGCCCCAGAGGTTAAGAGTGACACCTGTGCTGGTTGAAATAAGAATGGCCCCCATAGGCTCATATAGTTGAGTGCCTCCACCCCAGGGAGTGGAACCCTTGAAAGAGAAACGGTAGGAGGTGTGGCCTTGTTGGAAGAATGTGTCACTGGGGGATGGCTTTTAAGTTTTCAAAAACCCAAACCCTGTGTCACCCTCTCTCAGCCTTTGCACCAGGATGTAGCTCTCAGCTCCTGCTCCAGCACCTGCTGCCTGCCGCCATGCTTCCCACCATGGTGGTCATGGACTATGTCTCTGAAACTGCGAGGGAGCACCTACTTAAATGTTTTCTTTATAAGAGTTGCCTTGGTCATGGTGTCTCTTTACAGCAACAGAGCAGTGAGGAAAGCAACATCCTTATGATCATTGTATGGGGGGGGGGATAAGCAAAGGTGGTAACTTAGCTACATAGCACAATAAAGGTTAAGTGCTACTAGAGAAATCCACAAAGTAAGATAAAGATAGACAGAATGCTAGTGCCGGACAGAGAAGGTATGGCAGTGGTTTTAAAGAAGATGGTCAAGGAAGCCTGTTCTATAAAGGTAAAACCCTTGCACAAAGGCTTGAAGGAAGGGAGGATGTGAGTATCTGGAGTATCTGGAGGAGAGGTACTTAGAGCAGGAAGCCAGCACAGAGCATGGCAGGTGCTTTTAAAGCATCCATGGAGAAGCCACTAGAGCAAACAGAAAGAGGAGGGAGCAACAGGGAACGAAATCAGGCCTGCCTAATGGAATGGGATCTGTTCTCCTATCGCAGGGAGGTAGACAAGGTTTCTGACCTAATGTATGGAATAGATGTGTGGTGTGTGTGTGTGTGTGTGTGTGTGGCTATGTATGCATGTATGTGTGGCCATGTGTGGTATGTATGTGTGTGTGTGTGTGTGAGTGTATGTGTAGCCATGTGTGGTATGTATGTGTGTGTATACATGGCTATGTGTGGTGTGGATGTGTGTGTGTGTGTGTGTGTGTATACATGGCCATGTGTGGTGTGGATGTGTGTGTGTGTGTGTGAGAGTGAATGTGTGGCCATGTGTGGTGTGGATGTGTGTGTGTGTGTGTGTGTGAGAGTGAATGTGTGGCCATGTGTGGTGTGGATGTGTGTGTGTATACATGGTCATGTGTGGTATGGATGTGTTTATGTATACATGGCCATGTGTGGTGTGTGTGTGTGTGTGTGTATACATGGCCATGTGTGGTGTGGATGTGTGTGTGTGTATACATGGTCATGTGTATTCGTGACTATGTATGCTAGTCCCTGCATGGAGCAAAGGTGCATTGGTAGAGAGGAACTGGAAGGACCAGATCTTTAGATAATGAAATTGTCTGTCTTTCCAAGAGAGAAGGCCAACTAAGCAGATCTAGGAGACGCCATTTCCTTTATGCACTATGCAAACAGTACAACTTCAGGTATTTTCTGAGGGGCCAGGGAATTGGCCATCTTTCTCATCCCCATTTCATAGACAACAGACAGAGCAGCTGAGTAATTGTGCAGACTCACACAGCCACTGAAAGTCAGAACCAAGGTTTGAACCTACGTGTGTCTGTTGCATCAACAATTCTAACTACACCACCACATTCTGTGCCTCGTGGTTACAGTTTGAGGGACATCCTGAGCTAAATTTCTTGAAAACCAAGGAAAGTGCCTCTTGGAAATGTTTTGTGGGCTGTGTGGCCATGTAGGGTGTTTTGGTTCCTTTTAGACTCATCACACGGCCTCTGTGTTATCCATGGCCAGTTGCTGCTCAGTCCTCATCAGTCCAGTTAGCCTGTGTTGAACCACGAGTCTGAGGCGCCTCAGGGATCCAGTATCCAATGTCAGCACAGGGTTCCCTGTCATTTGTCTTCTTTTGCCTTAGCAGTCACATATGAATCAGAAGCACCCAATAGTCATTGGCAAGATGGTAAACTGCAAGTGATTTTAATACTTTCTGTCAAAATGTATATGATGAATATATTGCATTTATGATCTATGAAGGTCTATTAGAGATCTGTACTTTTTGTTGCTTTTTTTTTTAAAACAAGATCTTGCTATGTAGTTCAAGTTGGCCTCGAACTCACAATTCTCCTCCCTCTGCCTACTAAATGTAGGGATTACACGCATATGTCACTACCTCCAGCTACTGAGTTTTTAAGCCATCTTGTCTGCAAATAAACTTACAACTCTAGAGGACTCTCGAGTTTCTGATTGGCTGAGGAGGCTTACTCTCCTCCATGTCGAAGTCCAGGAAAAGCTGGTGGTGCCAGGTACCAGAGAGTAAGCCTTTATCTTTAGGGACTTGCTGGGCTCCTTTGTCACTTGGCTGTTCCATGGGCCTAGGAAGTAGAAGAACACAAGGGCTAATGTGTAAAGCTTGTCCCTGTGTCACACAAGGTAACGTTTTCCTCAAAAGCCTTCCCCAATGTGTCCAGATGGCTCCCAGGCCATCTCTTCAACAACAAAGCTGGAGCCCAGGCACAAGGCCTGACACACAGTATACAGTAGGCACTCAGTAAGTGTGAGTCGGAAGAAAAAAATTGAGTGACCAACTGGCCCTTGGCCTCCTTGGTACCATTTATGTCTATCAAAGTATATGAAAAGAAGTTTTGGACTGACCAGAGTTAAGTCTCATTTTTGCATTCAAACATGACTTTGTCTCCGGAAAAAGAAAAGAAATGAAAACCCCACCCAAAAAAGCAAATACAATTGGCCAGGAAAGATATGATTGCTCAGTTCATCTCTAAAGAATCAAAGTTTAAAAAAACTTTTACTTTTACTTTTAAACTATAGTATAACCACCAAAGCCGCAGAGAAAACCTGTCTCTAAAAACCGAAAAGAAAAGAAAAAATACATACTGCAGATGACAGTTTTGGTGTGTGGGAGAGAAACATTCCTTGAAAATATTTATTATAGCTGGGCAGTGGTGGCGCATGCCTTTGATCCCAGCACTCGGGAGGCAAAGACAGGCAGATCTCTGTAAGTTCAAGGCCAACCTAATCTACAGAATGAGTTCCAGGGCAGCCAGAGCTGTTACATAGAGAAACCTTGTCTCTAAAAAAACAAACAAAAAAAATTGTAATAAAACGTTAATCATCACAGCTATCATCTGTGAGCCCCTGGTTGACTTTGGCAATGTTGCTGGAGTCTTCCATTGCATGCTGTTAACTGTTGTTATTAATATGCAGTTTAACACCTGAGCCTCTTTTTTGGGATACTGTCAGTAGGGAGGAATTCTGAAGTGTGCTTAGAGGCCTGAGAACCTCCACATAGAGGCAGACTGTTCTTTCCTTCGGTCTTGCCATGTTGTCCATGTGTCAATAAGAAATATGGCTGACATGGCAGGTAAGAGGTGGATACACAGTAAATTTCACATGACTTGTTTCTGTGAATTCATATTTCTTTATAAATTTATATTCTGGTTGGATGGAGAATGTTACAATTTTCATTTTCCCCTCATTGTTGGGAAGGGTCAGGGTCATTCTAACGACTGAGGTAAGGGTCTACTTTGTCTCCAAGAACCTCTAAAACCTAGCAAAAACTCAACTCTCCAGTTTCAGTAGAGAATTTGTCCTCCTCCACATTTAAAGACAAAATAAAATACAGAAGACAGTTACTTCCTAGGATTTTTTATTATCTTTTGAAATAATTTGTACATACCTTTTAAATATTTCCGTGTGCCACAAAAAAATAATGTTAATAGCGCAAAATCAAAAGTTTAAAAAAAATACCCTAAGTATAATTTTTAAAATCTTTTCCTCCTCAAGCATTTTACGATGGGATAATGAGACAGATGTCTCTCAACTGGAAGGACATTTTGACATTGTTATGTGCGCTGACTGGTAAGTACATAAAAATCATAAAACTCCTGTTAGGGGGGAAAAATAGCTTTGCTGGAGTAATTGGGCCGTGCTGCTTTGCTGACGGCTAAGCAAAGTCAACAAACGAAGCACAAAGCCACCTTAACCTCAACAAATTAATATTCATCTCCATGTGACAGTTAGGAGGTAGTCTTCTATCACACAGTAAGTTCTACCACGTTATTTCCCAAAGATTGATTTTCAGAAGCATTTCCATTTTCTGGAATTGCCTCTGTTTCATGCTTGATGTACCAGTAAATGGACGACTTAGGCAAATTGCAAATAATTATGGCCCGGAGAGAACAGTCTGGAGAAAAGGGAGTCTATCAACACAAACAGCTCAATTAGCTTACTTCTTGGGAGAGATCTGATATAAGGGATATACATGTGTACACACGTACATACTCTTGGGCAAATAAACATATCTGTGAAATGCCTTGGGGGAAATAGCCTTTCTTAAAGTGTGTTTGAAGTCTAATGTTTTCAGCAGGCTCAGAGCTCACTCTTAGTTATACAGAACACCAAGATTGCACAATCACATTTTATTCTTATGCAAATAACATCCAAATCTGTCAGGTGTCTGATCTTTTTAGGTACATTTACCCTAGACATTCTTACCCTTAGCCCCATCTACTTATTTGTTAATGGGAGCCTGAGCCCTAGTTGCAGGATTCATATGCATAGACCTTTGCAATTATTCCAACTAATTTTGTGTCTTTCTTCATTCAGCCTGAGTAGTTATTTCAGGTTATGGAAAACATGGGCCATAGGCAAGTGTTCTCCCTACCCTAGGTTAGATCTTACTTGGAGTTTCCCCATCATCATGATTGCGTTAGATTTGAAAACAGCAAGTTCAGATTCCAACCTTCTGTTCCACTGATGAGCTGGATCCTAAGACCCAGTACCCAGGGTAGGTTTCAGCCAGAAGAAAGCAGATACATTCTTTAGGAAGTAACTTTGTCAGTATTCAGATATAAGTTCCAGTGGCCAACCTTCCCACCAAGTCAATGGAATTAGGTTAGGTTTCCTGTTTTCGTTTTGTTTTGGAGACAGGGTTTCTCTGTGTAGCCCTGGCTGTCCTGAATCTCAATCTGTAGACTAGGCTGGCCTTGAACTCAGAGATCTACCTGCCTCTGTCTCCTGAGCACTGGGATCAAAGGCATGGGCCACCACCACCGGGCTGTTTTTTTGTTTGTTTTGTTTTTTAATTCTCCTTCCTCCTTCTATTACTACTAGTAGTATTACTTTCTTGGACTTAACAGTAAACAGTAGGTATTTTGTTCTACTTTTAGTAAAATGTTTCCAGTTTTCCAGGGTCGTTTTAGTCTCCTTGCTCTAATTGCTAGACACTTTTTTTTTTCCAAATACAAGAGCAGTCCAGATCTCTGACTGATCAGTGACAACATGCCTCCATGCTACACTCCCCCATCAAAAAAAGGAGCTCAAACCAACCCACGTGGTTTACCAAGTAATTTAGTAAATGCCCTTCCTCACCGAGCTTGAGAAAGGATCCTCCAGGTTTGGCTGTACAGATGAAGATAATGCGGCCAGGATTAGATGAGATTAACATGAGTCAGACCAGAGAGCGGCGGCAAGATGACAACCAGGAGCAGTGTCTTCCGGAAGGTTCAGATGAGGGTCACACCCGATGTGCTCTGATGATGTGGGAAACGCAGGACTGGCCAAGGGATTTACTGTTAAATTGTCCTTCACGCAAATATCAGAACAGCCTGGCTTTGTCATACTTTCGTTGTGGACATTCATACCCATGCCATCTTATTTGTACCAGAGGAAGTAGCAGAAGAAGTAAGAGTTAGGCTCTTTCTGAATAATATTCTCAGGTTTAAAATAGCTGCACAACACAGTCCCCCCCCCCCACCTAACCGATGATGAGGTCTTATAGAATTGGTAAACATGGTGCATGTTCAGTTTAAGGCTTTCATTACAGATATATAACACAATGCAATCTTATACACATGCATCTGGTGGCTGTGTAAGAATTATTTATGGAGTCAAATGAACTAAATACCCGAGGCTTCATTTTATAAATGGCTTTTCTATGCATGAATCGATGGTTAAGGTTTTTTTCCCCCTGGTGTTATAAGTGCCCGAATGTCAGCCTGTCTGTAATTTCCCATTTGTAAATGTAAAACATTAAGCTACTCTTTACGGTGACGCTGATATTATTTCCAAAAGAAATGCTTTGGTAATGGTCTCTCTTTATATGCACGGAGATGGCTAAGCCGCTTAGAAACTTCCAGAGTAGGGTGATGTGTAATATTCATGCTGTACATCTGTCAGTGAAGCGTGGTGTTCCACATACATCCAGTTGGTTTGGAGTTGCTCCACAGGAGTTACTGCATGGATGTTGCTTCTATGGGGCAGGAGGACCATGCTGAATTATTTAGGATGTTTCAGAGGAGTGGAAGAAAGCTGCCCGTAGATGCTGCCTCCACGATGAAACCTGAAATATTCGATGCCGTAAAGAAGTGCCACATTTCAATAGATCACGTTGTCTCTCGTAACACCCTTTGTCATCTTCAGTCAGTGAGAGCTGGAGAGGGGCCATATGAAGCATGAGGTGAAGTTTGAATATTAGGCACATGGATTAAATTCTTACTGAAGCACTTCCAGCAAGGGTGGCATTGTCTGATTCGTTGAATAGCTATCCCGTAGTACTTCTTGATCTCATTTACATGAAAACAAGCTCCATTCATTCACCTATCCCAAACCCACACTGTGGTTCAAGTAAAATGCACATGATTATGGAGAGTGGTGATGTGTTTATGTTCTTAAATCATTCATATATTCCTATATTTACATTCAAATGTTCATAAACCTGTGGGTGGGGGAATAACTCATTTTCCAGAAGAGACAGTCCCTTACCCCAGATCCAAATTTAGTCGCTCAACTAGATTATAAAATAAAAAGGCAAACTGTGAAAGCTAGTTATTATTTCACCATTCAGCATTTTTGACAATGAAAAATAGTTTCATGGTTCAATAGTTCCTAAATAACTTGTAAAATGTCAACTTTGAAATAAACAGAAAGAAACATGGAGGTACAGTAACACCTATAAGAAAAAATGGGAGGGCTGTTGACAAACATCAAAATATTAGAATATTTAACCACAGGGGTAGGAGAAAAAAAACCTGCACATTAAATTCTTCCATTGATTTGTTCAGTGTTGAGTTTAATAAAAGCATTCCTTTCTGCAGGAATGCAGTACGTACAGCCCATCCTCTCTGTGTTGTGAAGAGCAAGCCTTGCTAATTCTTAGCTTGCCTTTCCAGACTCTGGTTCAATCACACTCATAATCGGAGAGTCTGGAAGTAGCTTCCATTTATCTCTACCATTTGATGGTTCTCCAGTTTATTGTAGTTCTGCAGATGTAGAAATGACTTTGTGCATTTGAGTTCTCACAATTCTTAGGAAAAAATATGTCTGAAATGCCCACTGCCTGATCTGTGTAATCGGATGCATAGGACAGTCAGCCCATCCATGAGGCTGACGCTGAGGGCTTGGGAGAGGAAGGAAGCAAGTACACAGGCCTGTTACCCCCCCCCCCTTCACAGGCCACCTCGCTTGTCCCTGCAGAATCTTCGCACTGATTTCAGACTACAGGTTGTTCCCTTTTCCCAATTCTCTTTACTTTCTTCTAAATGATGGGGAAAAAACCTGTTTGGCTTTTAAGTTGTTTTGTGAAAAAGTTTTTTTCCTCCCTCAAAATGGAAATGCTGTGGGCTCTGAAAGTTCCTCGTCTCCCAGCTACTGTGATGACAGCCAGCCTAATCACTACTCACTATCCCTGGCCCCAGAAAAGGTCTTTAGCCCCAGCGTAATCAGCCCTTTCACTTCAGCTGGGAAGATGGCCTCTGTGAAAATCCCTGAAGAGCCCGGAATTGCACAAGTGTAGGGGCAAAAGCCAAGAGAGGTTAGAATGGGACCCCACTGGGCACTACCTCCAAAATAGGTTCATGAATGCAGAGAGAGACTGCCCCTCTGTTGAAAGCGAGATCCGAAACAGCCGACCTCACCATCAAGACTGCATCGGGGTCTTTCTTCCGGTGCATATTGACAAGGAAGAAACATCTCCTACTCTCTGTATGAATGAATGAATTCTCTAGGAGGAGAGTGATACAGGCTCCTGGCCCGGCAGACAGCAGATTCTTGAGGATGTCCCGAGGACTCAACACCTTCCCTTTGTCAGAAAATCGGATTCAGATCAGTGGAACAAAGCGATCATTGCTGCCGCAGGCAATGACCTGGAGGAAGAAGTCCGCGTGCCGGAGAGTGTGTGCTTTAATGACCAAACTGGACTGTCAAGGTATTTTGATCCGTAACTAAAGGGAGAGTTGAAAGGTATCTCCATCCCCATCACTGACCCACTCAGCCTTTTTAAATAGACCCACTTAAGCTGCTGCTGTTCTCCGAGCCATTAGGACTTATTTAAAGGGGTGAATTTTCGGGAGATTACATATCACTCCCACTAAAGCACATTGAAATTGCCCATATGACGACGTAGCCTACAAAGCGTTATGAATTCTGCATGGAAGCTAAGTAGAAAAGTGAGCTTGCTTGGAATAAAGATCTTTTTTAGAGGACTACAAGAATTACTTTTGGGAAATTTGATTTGGAACGATGGGGTAGATGCCATTACCTTTGAAATGACTGTGTTTGGAATGTGTTCCGGGTGTTAAGCTGCACTTTACAGTTCGCTGTGATGTTAACCTCTTTGTCACCATTACGAAGGCGTAGTAGAAAAGGCTGCTTTGTAAGGGCGTGCTGGAGGCCCAGCCAGCAACATGCTGTTCATCATTTCCTAAGAGTCTCACCAGCTCTTAGAACACGCAGAAATAAACCAAGAAGAGGCCTCTGCTTAGCTGCAGCTTATCCAAGCAGCCAGAAGTCTCTTGTAGGTCTACATGACCACCAGAGTCAATCTATCAGCAATGTCAAACTGCAGATATTATGTAACCTCCCTAAAGAATAAGACTGGATGTCCTGAAACAGCACAATTTGTAGAAGACTAGTTCCAGCCTGATGTGCTCCTCATCAGTCTTTAATGATTTCGAATCGTCACTTAACCTGACCTCGTGGGACATCTTTGTAGCATTTAAATTAAGCATATTCTTTGCTCTAGGGTGTAAGGATTGCAACTTTATGAAAGATAATGCTTCCCTAGGTTATCCCGGTTGCTAGGCGGAAATGAGGTTTATGCATAGTCAGGAGCTCAACAGAAGAGGGCCCTGTTTCCATCACCCAGAGGCCCTTTCCCGAGGAGAAGATAGAGCTTGGGTCCGACACCCATCCATGTTGACTACTTCAGAATCAAGCCATCAGTCTCTCTTCCTCCTTCCTGCCCTCTGGCACTCCCGCCTTCCCTCAGACAGGGAAACCCATACTGGTCTCGAACTCATGATAGTCCTTTGTGCTGAGATGACAGGGATGTACCTCCATGCCCAACTCATGCTCCCCCTTCCCACAATGAGCCTAATCAAATTTTTGCACACCTGTGTGGGCAGACATCCTACCTCAATGTTGATACTTCCCAACAGTGCTCGGCAAGGCCTGTGAGCACGCTGTTTCCGGTCACTGAGATGCACACCAGACATAAACGTCCTCCATTTCAAGGACCACGTCGAGCTGCCTCGGGCAGTGAAGAAACAGAGTTCCGTGTTCGCAAGCTCCAAGCCATGAAGCATAAATGAAAGTTTCATTGGAGTGGAGCTGATCTATTTAAAGCTTAGCTCCAATGCCTGTCACCACTCATAGGTCATAAGTATAGGATTGTCAGTTAACGTGTGTTAATTTGATGTCCACCACAACCACACAGACGGGCCATTATTGACAAGAAAACTGAGGTGTTCTATGAGTTACCCAAGGTCACGTAGAAAGGGCAAAACCAGAACTTTATTAACCCTGAAACACACACTCCCACTGACAGGCAGTACTCATTGGTAGCCAAAAGGCATCCAAGACTGTGCCAGAACTGTACACATTTCAAAGATCCCAATGTGGCCTTCAGAAAGAAGTGGCCCCCACCAACTGTGGTGACACAGTCCAGAGGCTTCGTCTTGGCAGAGTGCTCCAGCCATGTTAGGAGGACCACACGGTGTGTGACAGTGACCTCTACTCTTGTGCCTCTGGCACAGGGTATTTCCACACCTGCATACCACAACCCTGAGGGAAACCTTTGTTTGCTTTTCATAAACGCTCAAGTATCTCAGTGCAGTCTAGGCTGTTACAAGGGAATACACAGACTGGGCAATCTAAAGGACAGAAACATATGACTCACAGTTTTGCACGCTAGGAAATACAAGATCAAAATGCTGGTGGGTTTGGGAGGGGATAAGAGCCTAATCTTTTTTTGTAGTACCTTGAATGTTGAATCTTCTAGCAGAGAGGGACCCTGTATCTTCTATGGCAGAAGAACCAAGTGGCACCCACCCAGTCATATGACAGGTCAGGTCTGCAGCCCACAAATGTAGAGGGTTGCATTCAAGCATAGAACTGTGTAAATTAACTTGCCACCAACCGCTAGGTGACCAAAACTTGAGCTATTTAGATGAAGCTGTTACAGACTTGTCAGAGAAAATGTGGTGCAAATAGGTTCAGAGTAACTCAACCATATAGATGCCAAAAACAAAACAAGACAAAACCCCAAAACCTCCCATACAGAAATTCTCTAAAGACCCAAGGAGTAAAGTGAGAAATCAAAGTGGATAGGAGAAAATCGATGTGGAGGTCAAGGGAAGAAAGCCATTGAGCTACTATGGCCTCTCACATGTCCCGAGCTGTGGTTTGGAGGTTGTTGTCCCCGGGGCATTGCTTGAGTCTTACCTTGGAACTAAGGTCCACCCTGCTTCACCCCTAACATTGCCGCAGTGGTTTGGGTACATGGGGCTGGAGGTTTGCTTTCAGAGGGCAACCTCACCGTGGTCCTGATGGGCGGAGGGTCCAGGTCTACTGGAGACAGGGATCTAACAAGAGAAAGTACCAAGTGTTCCATCTCCACCAGTTGACATTCATGACAGCATCTTGGGACCTGTTCCTGTGACATTAACGCATCAGAGTCAGGTGTGAACCCTGACATCGACAGCTTGATAGTCATTGGATAGTTCTGTTCCCAGGATCTCCTTTTTAAATTGCCCCTAGCAAGACCCTTGGATGGAAGGGAACGATCTTTCTCTGGTGTCATATAAACATGTAATTAGCCTTGTGCTGATCACCACCAGTTTAATCTGGATTCTGCTCTCTCCTCAATGTCAGTCTGTTCCTGGACCAGTACAGAGCCAGCCTTGTTGATGCAATAAAGAGATTACTCCGGCCTACAGTAAGTATGTTTCTATTTTCTCCTGAATACGAGCTACCGAATAATTAGTCTGCGCACAAAGATGGGGAGAGTAACTGGAATGGCAGGATTAATGTCATGTAATACTTTAAGATTTATTATGTCCAACTTCAATTGGGTCTTCTGATCTGCCAGGTTCTTTCCTAATCATAACTAGGAAACTTCTTACCCTTGGCCTTCTGATAAGGAACACTGTGGGTAGTAAAATAAATGAAACCGCTTCAAAGATAGTATGAGATTATTTTTATCAAAGAATTTCTGGAGTCTTTCCCTTTGATAATAATATCTTCATATTAAAGTAGAATTATGATATTGAAATTTTTTCTGTTGACTTCTGTCATTTTAAATCCCTTCAGTGGTAACCTTTGTCATTGGTTATTTATTTGTTTCATAAGAATACTTTTTTCTTTTTATTTCTGTTTATATCAAAGAATAAAAGGACTTCCAGATGAATCTGTATATTAAAAGTTCTTTGCTTTAAAAGGAAGCCATTATTTACATATTATAAATATTAGGTCACAATGAAGCCAAGCATGGCATAAAATATTGTGCACATTTTTACATTTATATATCCATTTATGCCTGTGAGTAAATTACAGAGTTTGTATCCACTCTTATTTTTGTTGAGCTGTTATACTAGGCTAGGAGGTCCTGGAGACTAAACGGAGAGTTAATATACATCTATTTAAAGTAAGAAAACGAGTTTAAAGCTCATGCATTTAAAAAAAATCTTGTAAGTATGTAAGACTCTTTGCTGTACCACAGGAATTTAAAACAGGCTATCTGATATGACTGCTCTGTGTGTGTGTGTGTGTGTATGTGTTTGTGTTTGTGTGTATGTGTGTGTTTTCTGAAGTTTTGTTTCTGAAGTCTTTTATGAAAGACTTTAGCCTTGTGACCTCGGTGAGACTTACAGACTAATACCTTTCAATCTTCCTTTTATATCTTTCTCACACTGAAGGCTCCCAGAGCAATTTGATAATCATCCATTGCCTTACACTATTGCTTTTTATTTTGTTATCTCTCTGTAGTTCAGAAACTTTAAATAGGCCTCTCGGAGGAGTAACCGCAGCTTTGTAAGTGGCAATCAATTCAATTAAATTGGCCTTCTCGATTCTGCTTGTGAAGTGGGAAGTAGGTCTTGAGGCAAGGAAGGGGCATGTGCCAAGCTGCTGCTGGCTGCTGCCACATGGAGGAGGCCGCCCAAGTTGAGGGCAAGCAGAAGGAATGCCGAGCCTCTCCTGGGCCTCTTCATCTCCCCCGTTAGCCTTGGAGGCTGCTTGCAAGCATCTGCAAGATCAGGATTCTCGGGGAGGGCACTGAGATGCTTGGATGCTGAGGCTCTATGAAAATGTCTCATACATAAACACAAAGCTTTCAAGGACTCCCGGATCTCACACTGCACAAACAGTACTTCACTCATCACCAACACCCCCTTCAAAGCCTATTTGTGGCAAATACTCCATTTTGCAGCAGATTTGCATGATTTACAATAGGAAACTGCCCAAGCTATGAATAGACCTAAATGCAGATTGGACTGGAATCTCTTGAGACTCTCTGTACCGGCTGTTAAACCCTGAACCGTGCTCTTCCCTGGCTGAAGTGTGGCTCCACGCAGCAGCGCTGCCCCCCCCCCCCCCGAACCAGGACAGCAACCCACTGACTGACAGCCAGTTCTTAACCTTATGGCAGAGAAGGACAGGGCCAAGCCCTGGAGCCGGTGACGATTCCACACACTAGGCGCTGAGGCCGAGGCCAAACCCAGCCTGCAGCATTAGAAGCGGCTCAGGCTCCTCATAGGACTGCTGACACTCAAGACCACTGAGTATTCTAATTTAAAGTCCAGGGGGCCCGCTATCAGAGAGGAAGTCTGAATAATGAATATGAACTTAGTGAAGCCTCCACTCAGAATCTCAGATCTGTGGAGGCAAGGAACTCTTACCCTGGGTCTCTATCCCTTGGTCACATGGACTAGGCAATAAAGAATCCGGGTCACAACTTGTACTGGTGGACCTGAAGATTCCCATGTAGTAGCAGGGAATCTTCTATCTCACATGGCTGGTCCTTATACTTCTAAAGGACTTCCCCCACTGCATGGACCGTCGTAGTTAAAGGCTAAGTTCACATGCAATGGCTACATGACAGTTAAAGCTAGGTGTAGGCTTCTTTGGAGCCCAAACAGTTCCTCTGTGCTTCCGTGGCCCAGGGTATGAAGATACTACATGTGTCCCCAAGAAAATTACTTAGGTGCTGTGCTAGCAGATCCTGAGTGTCTGGTGGTTTTCTGTAGGATACTGCAAGTTCTCAGCTTCTGAGCAAGAGTCACCAAATGCTTCACGTTTCCAGAAGGACCTTTGAGGAGAGAAAATATAATGGCTGGAAGGCATTTTAAAAAAGAAGAGTCACTAGCCACCCAGATTGATAATCCTCACCTTAAAAGGGAGTAAAGGGGTGTGGTGGCACGTATTCCCAGCATCAGGAGTTGGAGGGAACACAATTATGAGTTTGAGGGCAGCCTGAACTCTTCGGCAAGTTCAAGGCCTGGCTAGGCTACGTAACAAGACAGTGAGTCTCTGTAATGACAGCCGGCCTTTGCTGTTGCTCTCGCAGCTTGCTGAGGTTAATGTGGGAGACAGTGGACCTAAGAAGGAATGGCAGGCTGGCTGATGGGAGGCAGGTCCAGTTCAGCACAGTCTCTGAAGCCTCCTGACACAGCCCATTGCCTCCCATGAGGGCAAAGTGCAAGTTCACCCACCCTCCTATAGCAGCTCCAGGACCCTAAGTCCTCCTTACCAGGGTAGGCACAGTTAGGCTCTGAAAACAGGAAGTATGGAACGGGCTCACATCTGGCCTCTGTCGCTGCAGATTTCATCCTCTAGAAACCTCGATGTCTCCCAGTTTCTTCTCTGCAAAATGAGAGTGTAGTGTGGTGTATGTGAGCGCCTGTCTCCTTGCGGAAGACTTGAGAGACTTTCTGACTGCGGCATGGACAGGGACAGGAGGCTCTTCCCAAGCCCATTGAGAAATGCTGGCAGGAAGGAAAGGCTTTTCCTGATACGGAGGGACTTCTGTTGAGTGACCATCTGTACCTGCTGCACCTGTGGCCCCCAGTACAGCAGAACCTGAGGAGTCGCAGGGAGACCACCTGCAGAGTGAAGGTGACACTTTTTATACACACAGTCGAGCTAGGTAGGAACATCGGTGAGAGTTAATAGTTGCATCCTGAAGGGTTCAGGGGTCAGGCTCTGGGAAGGAGCTAAGTCTATACTATTGAGGTGTGTCTTTACTTGATTTCTAGCTCAACCAAATCAGCTGGGGTCAGAAGATCTAAAAACAGGTAAAACAGACAGAGGGAGCCTTTCCTGTTTTTCTGTTTTTTCTGATGGAGGAGTCATAAGTGAGGGGAAATAGACAGAGCGAGCCTGACTTCCCAGGTGGGCCCCTGGCTTGTCCCAACAGCGATGCCAGATCCTAAAGCTGACCTCAGGTCCTCTACCAAATAGCCCCAGAGCCTGAGAGTCACCAGACCAGGCCCCAGATTCCATCAAGGTATATAAAAAAAAGGCCACCATCCAGAAAGGGACATTTTCTTCAACTCTAGGAAAACTACATACACAGTTGTCTTCTGTCAGAGTAATATGAGGAACTCTTTAGAAAAGATATATATTTTTTAAAACATCCCTGCCTTGAACCACCCCCTCCCAAAAAACCCTGAAGTCAGTAAATTTTACTCATCCCAAGAAGCGACATCCCCCACTTCTTCCCCCCCCCCCCCGTTATAAGTGGTTTCTCGTTGCTAATGATTGATGGGGTGACTGCTCATGGCCATGTTCCCTAAAGTCTGTGACAACAGCAATGTCCTATATCAGAAGACCCGAAAGCAATTTAAAATCTGGCCACAGCAGCCTGCAAGTTGAACAGCAATGACAAACGGTAAATGACATCTGCTAATATTCCTCTAAAGTGGCTGTGTGTCCCAGAGGGGAGCCGGGGCTGCTAGGCAGTGGGAGCTTCCGAAGGACTACAAGGAGGCAGGCCAGAGTGCAGCGCCGATCGCCACCACCCGCCAACTGTCCACAGCTCAGAAATATCACTGCGACCAGTGAGATGGCTCAGCAGGTAAAAGGGCCTGTCTCGCAAGCCTGCTGGCCTGAGTTCAGTCCCCCGAAACCACCATGGAAAGAGAGACCCAGAAAGTTGTCTGTTAAGCCCGACGTGTGCACTCGCAGGCATGTGCTGGAGTGCACACACGATAATAAGAATAGTAATAATAATTAAAAAATAGTCCTTTACATGCCACTGTGGAATTAATATAACCAGGCCCCAGCAGTCACAAGATCCTAGGAGCCCTGCCTACGTCAGGGAGCCCTGTAGTTAGGAACCATCAGCCTCCATTTTAGAAGAGCAATTTCTTCTTATTGACTGACTTCCTCATCTTTTTGTTAAATCTAATACCTCTGTAATACCTCTGTTTACATCAGTGCAAACTTTTTTTTTTACTTTTGCTTTTGCTTATCTCAGGGAAATTACCATGCATGAGTGGTCCTATGTGGTGACTGAAGCTGTGGTGAAAATGAATTGGGTCCACAGCCCAGTGGATCCCTACCAGCTCTTGGTGCAAAGCTGTTCGGCCATCCCTTGCTGACCTGCTGTTAGAAATGGGAAGTACAGCACAGAGCTTGTAGAAAAGGCTTTAAGGCCCTCAGAACACAGGCCCAGCCTTGGGAAGTCCTTTCCTGAGGGTCTTGGGTACCTGCTTCAGTACCCAAGTACATATGCAGTACTGTGTACTCTTCATGGGGGAGCAAGATCTGAGGCAGATAGAATCTGGGGTACCCAAGAATTGAAGATCTGTTTGTAGAGATGTGCTACACCCACAGAGGTCAATACAAAATACAGCCTGGTGTTGTTCTTACCAGTTGTCTGAAGCTTTTGAATTTCTGTCTTCAATAGAATGTGAGCTGCTCTAAGATACATGTATATCCAGGTAGCCCAGACAGTTTGCAAGTTCAAGGTCTGCCTAGACTATGTAATAAAACACTAGTTAGTAAACAGGGAGTACTCCATAATGATGGCCAACTGTTTCTATTATTCTACCCCCAAATGCTTACCTGGTCTCTTTTGACATTGCAACATGAGGTTGTCTTCTACAGAATTTACACTCCTGGCCTGCACCATGAAGTCCTCAACCTCAAAAAAAAAAAAGTTCTCATAATTATTTTGCTTAAGTGTATGTGGTTTTGTGTTGGGCTGCATTCAAAGCTGTCCTGGGCCACAAGCTGGCACACGCAGACCACGGGCCACAGGTTGGGCGGGCCTGATGGTTTTGTTTCATCAGATACTTGCTAAGTAACCACGGTCTGCCTGGCGCTGAGCTCCAGACCCTGGAGATGTGAATGGAAGAGGAGGAGGAATGCAGTAAGGGAGGATTGCTGAGCAGAGTCATGCAGGAAATTTTAGCACATCATGGCCAGCAGAGAGGCGTCAGGAGAAAGGCCAGGGTGACTGAAGGCCTTGGAAGGTTTGCCTACGCGGCATTTGTATGCAGCTCCAGTGGCATCGTAAGGATGCGCTGCACCTCAAGGAAGGGGAGAGAGGTGGCGTCTAGTGGAGGGAGCGAGGATGCTCACGCGGAGAGCACGGGAAAGCCTGTTGCTTGCCTGTGGTGTGCTCTGTCTTGAGTGTGTCTGTCTACTTTGGGGCTCAGGCAGAGGCCGAAAATGAAGCCAAAGAGATGCTCTGGGTACCATTTTGTGAAGCTGGCTGTACTGTGATGAGGAAATAGGGCCTTATCAGGTAATAGAGAGTCACCGAGTGTTTATGAGCAGTAGCATGGCCGTTCAGATATTGCAAAGGGGCCCGTTGCAGTAAAGGAGTGTTTGAGAAAAGCCAAGTTCCCCGGTCCCAGCATGGACCGAGCTCTACATGGGACCATCCAAAGAAGAAAGTGTGGAGTGGATGTTCACTTCCTATTCATGCCTCTTGGATGCTCAGTACAGGGCTAGGAACACAAGATGGAGTAAGAAACAATATAGCCCTACCCCATGGAAGCAAGCAGCTGCAAGCTGGTGTGCGTGGAGGCAGGAAGTGGAAGTGACAACCTGGGGAGGGACATCATGTAGAGGTCAGAGAAAGTCAGAAAAGGCGTCAGAGGAGTGGGGTGTCTGACCTGGGTACTGAGGGTCCAGTTAGAGTTTACCAGGCAGACGGAAAAAATGAGGTAGGAGAGGCACTGTAGCCCGAAGGAATGTTTGCAAGTCTAGTGACAAGGGATGCATAAAAGATCACATCAGCTGTAATTAGTTTAGTTTGGCTCCAGGGCAAGGTGAGTACAGAGGGCCAGAGACAGTTGTAGACATGGGTGTGAGTTCCATAGAAGTCAGGACCCATCTCAGGACTTAACAAACCCTGTCTAGCCCACATCCCAGTTAAAGAGATGAAAATAAGGTCAAGGTGTAGCTCAATGCCAGAGCATATGCCGTTCACAAAGCCCCGGGTTCAAGAACCAACACCAACATGAAACAACCAAGTATAAAATAGGATGTGAAAACACTGTGTTCCCCCCACACACCCTGATCTCCCTTTATCCCTCCAGGTCCCCCTCAAGCCGTTCGGAACACTTTTAAAGGTAGGGGGACATGACTTTGGGGTTTTAAAAGACAGTGCCCAGCCAGGTGGTGGCGGCCCATGCCTTTAGTCCCAGCACTCAGGAAGCAGAGACAGGCAGATCTCTTGAGTTTGAGGCAAGCCTCATCTACCAGAGCTAATTCCAGGACAGGATCCAAAGCTGCACAGAGAAACCCTGTCTTGAAAAGCAAAAACAAAAAGACAGACAGACAGACAGACAGAGCCTTACCAGGTGTGGTGGGCCATGCCTGTAATCCCACAAGGGGGATGGAGTGGGGGTTGAAGCCAACTTGAAGTGCGTGAGACCCTGTGAAGAAAGGGGAGGAAAGGAGCAGAGAGGGGAAGTGGAGGGGAAACGGAGAAAAGAAAACGATGACAGCGCTGTGGTTTCCAGCTGGAAACAGCACACACCCACACCGGTCCTCAGCTCTGCATAGCAGGGCACGGGTGTGAGGGGGTGCGGTGAGTTAATGCCCAGTGCTCTGAGAATGGTAAGGTTTGGATCCCAGGGTTACGTTCTGCTTCAGACAGAATGGGTTAAAGATATTTTCAGAACACCCACATGCTGAGAAGACGGGTGTGGACCCTTCGCAAAGGTGAACGCTACAGTTACATACATGGAAATTATTGACGTTTAAGTGATAGTTGAAGCTGCAGACTTGAGTACAATTGCCCAGAATTATACAGAACGTGAAGGAAAAGTGGGCAGAAACCTGGGAGCCACGGACAATTAAAGAGCTAGTGGGAGAGGAAAGCCTGGAATGGAGGGGAGAGAGAGAGAGGGAGAGAGAAGAAGTGGGTGAAGGACACATCTCAGAAACCAGGTAAACAAACCAAAAATAAACATAAGCTTAAACATGTAATCAGAATTTAATAATTGGTTGCCAGGGAGAGGGAGGAGAGGAAGGTGTTTCAGTGGCATGGTGCATTCCTTTCTGGGGCGCCCTTATCTGCCCCCACAAGTGTACCCCTTTTAATACCTGAGTGTTGAGCAGCCTAGAAAAGTAACAGCAGTGGAGCCCACACTGTAACCGGTGTCTTTGTTGCTGGATTGAACTTGTCTCTCCAGGGGTAAGAGAATTCCCTGGAATTTCTGCCCATCAGTCAAATTTTACATTCCATTGAGCATTCACTCTGAGTTTTAAAAATGATTCCGGGGCTGAGTGCTTAGAAAGTTGCACTTTGGTAAATTGAAAATAATTTTTCCCAAGGTAATGCGCTAATTTAAAATCTATATTGTTTTTCTCGTTTTGATTTTTTTTTTCTAAATGACAAGGAATATCCGTTTGGTTGTACTACTCCACAGACATGCCCTACTCCCCTGGGGATATTGGGAGGCAGGGTGCCTCTAAAGCCACCTATTACAGCATGGGGCAGGCACTGGCAACCTGATAGGGCTCTGTAGACGTGTTTAAACAGATGGGTGCTGTACTATTGCCCTCCAAAACATTAATCCATTTCAACAAAGTGAAGACCAGTTTAAACCTCATAACTAATTCTGGACCAACACTACTACTCCCTCTTGCTCTTTCTCTGGGTGCTAGAGTGGGCAGATCGGTGCCCTCTGCCATCCCTCCCTAGAGCTGCTTTCTGTAAAAGCCCCTTGGAGAAGATCTTTTCAAAAGAATAAGCGATAGAATGTGGCCTTCAAGTTCTCAAAGACTGGTGGGTTGGGTTTTTTGTTTTGTTTTGTTTTATTATTCAGCACCTGGATTTAGTTTATTCTCTCAACAAATATTGACTGGGTTCCTACTATCTGCTAGGCACTGTGGGGGTGCGCTGCATAGAGCATACGAAGACCCCGTTGTCATGGAGGATTGCCATCCAGACAGAGGAGACAGGCAATAGCAAACAAGGATATAGTGTGTGTCTGTGATGATAAGTGCTAAGAACAAAACTAAAGCTGGAACGGTAGCGGAGAGCTGTCGAGGGTGGGGGGGGGCGGCGCTTGCCACAATTCTGGATATACGTATTAGTGATAGGTGGTAAACTGAAGCCGTAGCGGAGGAATGGTGTTTAGTCAGAAAACACTTCTTAGCCTAACCACTCACTCCCAACCCACGAGTGAGTAGGATGTGGGAAGCATGCACTTGGTGAATGCAAATGTCAGCCAACCAAGAATCCTGTCACCCTGAAACGCTATGATATATAGCTTAGATAAGAGCTGTAAAAAATCAACTCCTCAACTGTAACTGTGTGACAGTCTTTGCAGGTGCAAACAACTTCCATTATTCAAAACTCTAGAATGGCAACCAGTCCTCTGAGATGACTGAAATGACCTACTGATAGATAGCCCCTCCTTTTTTTTTTCTAAAAAAAAAAAAAAAGAAGACTCCTGCTCTCCCGCTGAGACCGTGTGTTATATCCAGTTTCACGTAAAAATGAATTTTTGCTGCTAAGTTTGAAAACTGCCTGAAAATAGCAATTAATATTGGAAAAGCTGACAGAACCTTAAGTATAGTGGCATGACGGATGCTGCCGTAATTACGTGCCTGAGTGTGTATATGTCTACGTAAACACAATGTGAAAATACCCTTGCTGTCCAGAGCAGTGTATCAGAGTATTCGGGGCAGGGAGAGGATTTTTCCGATCTTATGTCTGAATCGCCTTGCCTTTCAAATTATGTTTATATTCACTTCATTTGAGCCTCACAGCTTGCTGGAAGGAAAAAAAAAGAGGCCATTGCAGCTCAGTTCTTCCCATTAGATGGATGAGCAAACTCAGCAGGTCAGCAGGCGGGGATGCAGGTTCTTGTGTGTAGAATCTGGGGGTCAGAGTACATCATCTCCAACATCCTTCCAGCTCTCGGTGAGATGGTGTGGTTCTGATTATCCCGAGATGCCACAGCTGTGTGATGGTGGGGATCCAAGTTAAAGTCCGGGATTCTTTCCGCCCCATGGTTCCTACTGCTCTTCATTCCCTCCACTGCTGGTTTTCTCATCTGCAAAGTGTCTAACCTACAAGGTAGCAGAGAAGAGTATGGAAGGGATTAAAGAGGGTTTGTGAAGCAGCTAGCACAGTGGTAGCTGTCCTTGTCATTGTCATCACTATAAAGAGACAATGGGATAGAGAGAGAAGGGTGTCTATATTGGGAGTCAGGATGATGAGTGTTTAATCAAATCTGGGTGGTGCTCCCTTGGCAAGTTATCCATCTTTCTAAGCATCCCTGTAGAATGGGATACCGAGGATACTTTCTACAGGTTGGAGACTAGAGGAGATGCCGTATGTGTAGATGACGAGCCCATTGTCTGACACACTCCCGTACCAATAAATGTCTGGTAGATATTAATGATAACTTTCTGTCCTGGAATAAGTCAGGAATGGCAACCCATGCCTGCAGCTACAGACCTTAGGAAGTGGAGGCAGGAGGAATACAAATTCAGGGCTAGCCTGGACTGCTATAGCAAGACCCTGCCTCAAGCAAACAAACAACAACCAAAATAGGGAACTGGACTATGTCTTATAATTCCTTCAGAGCCTGGGATGGCATTTTGATGAGAGCTGTAAGCGTGTAGGTGTCTGCTTTTGTTTAATGTGGAGAAAATAAGATTCAGAAACCTGGTCCACTCTGATACATGCCAGGGGAAGGAGGAGCTTGCATACATCATAAAGTGTCTTGTCCCACCAGCTGTCTGAAGCCCAGCGGACGTTTTATTAAGGTTCTACGTGAGCCCACGATCATCTTCAGATTCCGTGGCTATTTAGAAATGCCTGCCCACCTGCATGGTACCACTTTCATCTGATTGCTGTAGAGTGGCCCTGTTACAGTGTAGACCTTTCTTGGGGATCCAATGAAGATGGAAACCTACATCTTGGAACCTTGACCCAGTCCAGGAAAGTCACAGAAAAGGCTAGGGACAGGGCTGAAACCCAAGAACGCTCCAGCGTGGATCATGGCCTCTGATGTCTATGGAGAGTAGCTTGGCACCTAGTCTTCAGAACATAATGACCATGTGCTCTGGAGCTGTGTTGGTAGGTGTGAAGGAGTTGAAGGCTGTGGGAGCCACCCCAGACTCAACATCCATGACTTAAACCACTAGGCCTGATGTTGCTGGAATTTCTTGTCCCGCCAAGTCCCGCCATCCTTCCTAGCCCCAAATGAACACACAAAGCCTTATATTAATTATTAAACTGTTGGCTGGTGGCTAGGGCTTCTTATTGGCTAACTCTCTCTTAATTGTTAAGCCATTTCTATAAATCTATATATTTCCATGTGGTCTTGACTTACAGGAGAATGCCTGGACCTGTTATTCCTTTAGCGGCTACATGGCATCTCTTTGTGGCACCTCTCTACCTACCTTTCCCAGAATTCTCCTCAGTCTCCTAGTCCTGCCTATCTTCCTACCTCTATTGGCCAAATAGTGTTTATTCATCAATCAATAAGAGAAACATATATACAGAAGGCCATCCCCCATCAACCTGATGCAGGTTACATTGTCCAGAACAGCAGCTTCCCATCACATTTTGTTTATTACATATGCATTATTTGGAAATAATACCATAAAGCATGGCTATTTGAGTGTGAAATACTGCTTTCTTTATCTGCCCTTGAAATGACTCTCCCTGTGAGTGTCTGTCCTGCTTAAATGTCTACAGAACAGCTAAGAAGACATGAATGCTTTGACTTCATGTCTGTTGTGTTTGGTTGCCTTTCTATTTTTAACTGTGTGAATTTCTTTCTTTCTTTTTTTTATGTTCTAGGGGAAAGCAATGGTATTTGCCCCACGCCGAGGGAATACGTTCGACCGGTTTTGCAATCTAGCTGAAAAAGCTGGTTTCTCTCTCCAAAGACATGAAAATTATGATGAACACATTTCAAACTTCCACTCCAAGGTTAGTTTTCTGCTTGTGCTAGATAACACTTTAATCCGCATTGCATTTGAAGAGATCATGGTCTTTTTGGCAGGTAACCTAAATATTTGATTAAAGTACTCTTTAGGTGTGTTGCTTCGGAACGGCTATTTGTATCTGATTATTTTGTGTGGTAAAGCCATCTTTTATCTTTGCGTGTCTAGGAGGATTTTACAGAAACCATTCCTGTTTACCCCTTTCTCTGAAACAAACTAATCTTTTTCATTCATAATGGACTAATTTGCAAGATGCAAGAGGAATCAGCTTAGAATGAATGACAAACATGCATTTGTGTTCTAATGAAAAAAACCTTCGGCTTTTAAGTAGGTTAAATGCTTAGCCGCACTGAAATAAATAGAAGGTGAGTGTCTAATTGTATCATGTTGGACTGTAAATCTTTATCTCGGCTTGCTTTATGGCTGGGTCAGTTGACAGTTTGAGACTGTTAAATCTCATACAGAATTTCACAGTTGCGAGGTTATATGTCAGAACGAGAGGCGCTACAAGATTTAGGTCAAAAGCACTTATCTGAGAGTGATTTCTAAGCCTGCTTACATAAAGCAATGTTATCAGCCTTTTTATTACTTATGGGCATAGGGCAATATAGGACACCAAGAGGCGAGTATTTCACGGAAAAGTTTTTTAGGATTCTCATGTTTGCAGGTGCCTGTCACAGGAACCAGCCTAACAGGGATTTCTAGTGTCACTTTGTGTCTCACGGACATTTCCTTTTGCTGAGCTCATCTGCCCACGGTTTGAGACTCTGACTTGTCATGCTTTCACAAGCTATGACTGCAGAAACGTGAAATCCTGACCGTAATTTTCTCCCAGGACAATGCGAACAGCGTGTTCTTTATTGCTTAGGACTGTGATATAATGTCGAAATGTGCTGGTCCCTAAACGTTCATAGGCAGATGGATCTGCTCTTGCAAGCGAAAGATAGGACCCTCGTTCTCACTTCCTTAAAATGGGTTGGCTTCTTCGTATCTCTAAGGCTCTATTTAGCCTATGGGTTGGGGTAGGAGTGGACAGTGCGTTGAGACTGAAAGTTAAATGGCATCCTCTCACTGGCAGAATGGGACCTAGGGCTTACAGAAGAAAATAGGAACCCAATGGCAAGTTATTCATATCTTACTTGCTTCTCCAGAATGCTGCCCCCCCAGCCTGTTCCCAAAACAACAGGAAGAGCTCTGGGGGGTTTCCTGATGGGGAAAGGGTCTGTCCTGACCTCCTGAGTGCCTTCAACCAAAGGAATGAGGTGGCCTTCTCTCCCTCCAGGGTCAGGCCGGAGCTACAGGGACCAGCTGAGGCTGCTCCGATGTCATGTCATCTGCTTGGTCCCCAGAACAACAAATGCTTTTAGCTTCTCAGTGACAGCTCAGGAGATGGAAGGTGTGGGTCTTTCCACCAGCAGAGATGTTTGGCATTGTCCCCCAAGACTGCTTGTCTCCTCTCTGGAACATCTGAGGTGTGAAGGGACAAGCAAGGCACTTGAGTCCTTGGTGCCACCCCTCCTTTGTCTAGAACTTGAGTGTCAGACGCTAGTGGATGGCAGCCTCCTCCTTTGATTCCCCTACCCTGCTAAACACAGCACATTCAGAAAACCTCTGAACGTGTTTCTAGCATCTATATCGTGTACTGTACCCAGGTAGCACTCTGCAGGCCACCACTGGCTGACTAACTGGCCCAAATGCAAATACATCTCTTTAAATAGTCAAATGGCCTTAGGTTTGCTTATAAGTCAAATCCCTCCCCTTGCTGACAACTGCCTAAGAAATAGCCTTCCCGTGGCAATGGGGTGAGCCTGAATGAATGATGTTTGCAGGAACTAAAACCCAGGGGACATACTATGCAGTCCTGGGTCAAAGTTTGGGGGCACGCGGTGTCTGTGTGTCTGTGTGTGTGTGTGTGAGTGTGTGTGTGTGTGCATGCATGTTTAATGAGAGCTATTTCAATTAGTTTGACATCCTGCTTCTAACACAAGAATGCTCATCTCTTGTGTGCCTTTTTAGCAAAGTCACACACCCCAAACCGACACACACACACACACACACACACACACACACACACACACACACACACACACACACACCAGCCAGCCAGGAGCCAGGTGGAGGAAGTGAGTAGGGGGACTCCCGTGTTCCTGCTCACCGAGCCCAGGAATCTCAGCCCCAGCCTTGAGGCTAAAGGCAGTGCCCTGTCCCTGCCACCTCCAAGCAGCTCCAGGAAGCTGAGGGCCGGCTCGGCTGCGGGAACCTCCTCCCTGGCTTTTGTTGGCCGCTCTGCTAATAGCCAGGGCTTAAAAAAGTTTCCCATCTTGAGCGGCAATCAGCTTTCTTCCTCTGCCTCTCTGGCCAAAGCCCACTGTCCCTGGGCTGCGCCTGCTCCCCATCGGAGGAGCGGCGCTCCCCTTCGGGCTGCGTGTTATCCTCTTAGCCCTACTGTGTTGGAATAGAGCATAAGCAGCTGGAGGACTGTAAGACGCCTGATAATGCCGCTCCTTTCCGCTGTCCCGTCTTAATCTTGTTACACAAATGGTTGTGAAGAGATTCATGAATTTTAATTTTGCCCTCTGCATTAGTGCCTCACGTCACTCATACACAGCTGCCTTCTATGCCGAGTTTTTCACCCCTCCTCTTACAACAGGGGAAAAAATTAGTTACAATCTTGGCAGTAGTGCAAGGTAAAAAAAAAATCTACAGATTTAGGCAACCACCCATGAAGCTGATTAACAGTCAGCGATCAGGAGGAACAGCTTTTGCCTCTTAAACTTTTCACCTCTCATTGTTAACTGTGAAATTTTATTTCCGTTAAAAAGCAAGCCTGTAATCAAAACGGTGCCATTCTGCACTCTCTGCCCGTGCTTTTGTTAAACTGTGCCCACACCGTGCAGCCGGCATGCTCAGGACCCAGGCAGCCAAAGGTGTCCCTATGGCTTTACAATAGTGCCTTTCTGTTTGTCCGGGCAACAGGAAGGAAAAAAAATAAAATAAAATAAAACCCTTCTCTCTCCTCCCCAGTCTCTTCCTGGTCCCTCGAGGCTTGGGACTCAAACGTACTACCCTATGGTGCAGTGCAAACCTCTGAGACACAAGATTGTTAAGATAGCCAGTGGCTTAGCCAGGGAGAGCCTCCGTTCAGATCGAGCGCTGGCTTGAAATTAGCTGATGAGCTACTCGAGTTTTCTTTCTTTCGAAATAGAATTTTACAAGGCACGGGTCTCAGTTCTGCTTTGGACTTTGGCAAAACCACTGGAGATTTTATTCTCTGCATTTATGTACTTAGCCCAGAAAAAAGAAAGAAAGGAAAATGGGCTTGAGCCTTGAAGTCAGTACGTTGTGTGAAATGCTCGGCCATGTTGCTCTTCTGCTTATCTACTCACAAGTGGCTGGTTCTTGTCATCTGTGCGGTATGCTGTTGATAATTGTGGCCACTGTAAAGGGTAAACAGTCTGAACTCCACCACCACTGCTCTTCCCACCGTAGTAAGGCCGAGTGTGTTACACCCAACTATGAAGTAGAGCACAATGCAGCTAATAACAGCTCTATAATTTAGTGCAGCCATCAAAGACCCCGCTTTAACCTACAAAATTGAAAAATTGTTTTATTCACAATTTGTTTTTGTTCCTTTTTTCCGAGGTGCTTTCTTATTCCTTAAAATTATAATTATTAATTGAGCAAAGAAGTACTGCCTGGATAAATGGAATTATTCTTAAGCCCTGTAAACTCCCCCCCACACATACACACCATCCAAGCCCGTATTCCCTAACAGCTTTGTGTGTGTGTTCAAGGACTCTTCTATAACAGATTTACTTGGATCAGAGGTAACTAGGCAGATGTTACAGTACTGTTTGTGAGGTGGGGAGTCCCCCACCCCACCCCCAACTTCCAGAAAGGTTCAGAGGAAGGACCAGGCTAGCCCTTCTGGCAGCCAAACCTCTGCTTTAGCCTCCAGAGGTCAGCATAGAATTCAAGTTAAAAGTGATTCCTAGGCCATATTTACAGAAGAACTATTTATCCCATCTATTACCTCGGGGACTTTATAAAGAGCTCATTTGAAGCTGTGTATATTAGTGCCTTGTCAGTGAGTAGGTCAGCTGACTGGTTCCGAGTACTCAACTTTCCCTTATCCCCAGTCCCCGAGGAAAGATTTAGCTCTCATGGCTAAGGTAGGAACAGTGAGCGGGCATGGGCAGGGGAGTTGGCGAAGCCAGTTTCAGGAATTCTGATGATGACCCGAGAGTGATGCACACTGTTGATACTTTGGTGATAGCAGATTCGTCAAGTTCCATTCCCAGTAGGCAACTAGTCATTTGTGAGTCAACATCTAAGAAAGCAAAACGAAGTCACACTGGGACCCACTCCGACACCTGTTCTTAGGAAAGCTTAGAAAGGAGAGAGAACTGGCTTTAAGTCCCAGCGGAAAAGGTGAGCTCATGTCCTTAACGGTGAAGACGTGTCACCATTTTGGAATAGGATTTAGAGGAGAGATGCAGGTGAGCATATCCCTAACAGTCCAACCAGGCACAATATAATAGTGGAGCCATTTGCGGGATGCTTTAGGGTAGGTGGTGGTGACTAGTTGGGGGTAATAAAAGAATTGCTTTCCAGTATATCGAAAAGAAGGATTTCTGATCTTCATAAGTTAAAATAACCATTTTGTTGGCTCAAAAATACCAACTAATAATCTGTTGTGCTTACAAGTAACAAACTAGCCAGATGTGGTGGCACCCACCTTTAATTCCAGTGCTCTGGAGGCAGAGGCAGGTGGATCTCTGAGTTAGAGGCCAGCCTGGTCTACAGAGTGAGTTCCAGGAAAACCCAGAGCCATGCAGAGAAACTCTGTCTCAAAAAACAAACAAACAAAACAACAACAAAAAGGAGGAGGAAGAAATAAACTTCTATTTGCTAGAATAAATGTGACTGTCAGATTTATTCTAGTCAAATGAGGAGATAGCACGTACCGCTCCCCCACATTCCCCAAAATGTGTGGTTAGGTAAGAAGATTGGATGCAATTTAAAATTGCATCCCAAAAGGTCCTCAGAAATTCACCTTAGCAACATCAAGCATTGGTGTTCTGCTGGAAGATGTTCCTGGGAAGGGGGTGGAGTCCTGATTTACTTAATTTCAATTTCTGAAATTCCTTACTTGACTCTCCTTACCATGTATTTCTATTATTTTCAGTTGAAAAAAGAAAACTCGGACATATATGAAGAAAATCTCCATTACCCCCTTCTGCTTACTTTAACCAAAATGGGATAGAAGACAGAGGAAAAAAAATCAAAAGCATGAAGAATTTTTTTCCCAATAAGAGAAATCTGCCTTGGGACCCCGAGACTTGGCGCCCCACCCACTTTTGCACATTCCACATCCTGGTCCTGGGACTCCACACACATGCACGCACGCACGCACACACACTCATATCACTGCCCTCACAGCTCCCTCACCTTTTCTTACAATCAGCTGTTGCTCTTCTATACCAAACCTTTGTGTGTTTTTATGTGCCAGCGGCCAGCCCGAGACCAGAACCAGACCTGTGAGCAATCAAAATATTTTCCTCCCTCAACCAGGATTCTCTCTTTTGATGAACAACCCCCTCATTTTTTAAAAATTGTCTTTGTTCTGTTTGGTAATGGTAGTCTAGATCTGTAAATGCAGAAACATCACCCCCTCTTTTCTGCTTAAATAAATACATATATAAACCCCATCTTTCTGATGTCCCAATTAATTGTTTCAGTCTATCATCTTTTGCTCTGTCTGTCTGTCTGTCTGTCTGTCTGTCTCTCTCTCTCTCTCTCTCTCTCTCTCTCTTCCTCTCATTATGTTTTCTTTTCAAACAGGATGTTTTATGTTTTTTTTTCCCCTATAGAGGTATAAGAAATGACTACATCAGCCAAAAGCCTCATAAACTGACCGCTTGTCCTCTGGACACAATGGCGTGGCCAGCCCCCTGCTCCTCCTCCTACACTGACCGTTCGTCCTCGGGACACAATAGCATGGCCAGCCCTCTGCCCCTCCTCTCCAATTATGTGCGATTAGTCTCAGTACGCCGTGTCAAGGAGGGGGAGCGCGCTGAGTGCTTATTATCTGTTTAGGTACAAGAAGAGCACATTTAGGCTCTGACTATGCATGAAAAGTGAGCCTTTATCCAGGCTTAAATCTTAACTGCTGCCGTTCTCCCAGCTTCTTTCAAAAATAGGTCTTTTCCAGAGAAATTTGGAATAAATGCTAGATTGCAACCAGAGGGGGAATTTGGAAAAAAAAACTAAACTCAATCAGACAATTATCTTATTTAAAATAAGTATATATTGTTAGTTTCTGAGAGTAGAATGTACAGTAAACACTTAGTAGGGCCTACCCAAGACGATGATTTTTCTGCGTGGACCCCAGCCAGCCCTCCCTGGTGTTCCCATGGAAGGCCCCTAATACCTTTTGTGGAAATTCAGATGTTTATCTGCAAGGAATCATCTGTGCCCACTTTAGCAGGAATGTCATTAGGTGGGGCTAGCTGTGTATCCTCACATCTTTAGCAGAAAGAAAGTGTGTATTCAATGTGATACAATTAAAGTGATAGGTAAGGTCGGTGGGGGGAGGGGGGACATGGAGCGGGAATGGAGAGGCTCATCTGTTTTTGCATGTTAAGCAAACTTAGATGCCATAAAAATAGGGACTCTCAAATGTCTTCTCTGCTCACTTCTATCATCAAACAAAAAAACCTTACCATCGGTTTGCATGTCCCTGTATTCGCCACTTTTTCTGCTCCATTAAAGCACCTAGATGGATCTCAAAAGGCACAGGTCAAGTCGCAGTTAGATCATACATTTCTTTCTCACAAAAACTTGAATTGCAATGCCAAGTGATGGGCTAACATCACAATAACTGCAATTTATTCCTCTTTGGATAAAACAGCAGTCTATTCTCGGTGCTAGATAAAGACCAGGGCCATGCAAACCAACCATTTAGCTGAGTAGTTCAGCTGGTGGCAGGCTCTCCTTCGGTGACTGTATGGGCTGCACACTGGCTTCAGATTTTCTTGTTTAAAAAATTAGAATTTGGGATGGTTTTTAAAAAGCAACACAAGTCATTCCACTCATACTGACAAAAATTCTGGGAGAATTATTTCCTAGGTAAAACCTGCAACTCAATCTGCCAGACAAAGGGGGCCTGTCTGTGTGGCACCTAAAATGGTCTATCACAAACACCTCCCCCTGCCCTGCCTCTTTTTAAGTATAGAATAGCAGGACCATGAGACTATTTCCTTTCCTTTCCATCAGAAAAATACAAGAACTGGCAGAAATTCAATTTGCATTTGTGTGTAGCAGATACACAGATACAGTCCTCATTTCTTTGGGAGAAGTTGTATTTTTTAAATTTTTTAAGCAAACTAGTAGTGTGCTTTCTAGAAGTATCTGAGAACAGTGTATCAAAATTGAGCTATTCCTACTAAAAGATACCCAGTAAAGAATATGTTTATCATGGTGTGATTATGGCCTGTAGGTCTCCTGTCACATGTTCAGGGTTTCGTAGATGTGTTCTTTCTGGAATCCTTACCTGAAAGTGTCTCAAAGTTTTAAGAAACTGATGTTATATTATTGAACATGTGAAAAGTGTTTTTTAATTAGTTGTTGAATTTTTAATAGAATGCAGATATTGAGAAGGAAAAGTAAGGCATTTATGTTTCTTCATGAATTTTGTGATTATTCCTATGCATTAGTATTAGACTATGTAGTTGCAATGGAACTGGCCCTTCTACAATTGTCTACATAATTGTGCATGTGTTTGTTTCCAAAAGAAACCCGCCTGCCTAGAGAATAAGACTTAGGATATTCTGGGCCAGTGAGATGGCTCAGCAGGTGAAGGTGCTTGCAGCCAAGGCAGACTACCTGAGTCCAATTCCCAAGACCCAGAAGGTGGAAGAAGAAGAAGAAGAAAAAAAAATGCTTCCAAAAGCTGTCCTCTGATCTCCATATGTGCTCTGTGACAACACACACACACTACAGTAAAATAAAAAGTAAAAAAACAATGCTAAGAATTAGTATATTCTTTTTCACTGATTTTTTTAAAAATCGTCTGATAAAACTCATGGTTTTCTTTCTGTAGACATGGTTGGGTGTAAGAATGCATGTAATGCTGTCCACAGGCAGTTGCACAGCAGTGGTACGAACAGCCACGACCAAGTTGGTTATGAGAAATGTATTTCATTTTATAGCAAGACATATGCTGTGGATTGGGATAAAGGTGCTCAGAAAGACTGCCTCAGAGGTTGCTGCTATTTTGTATAAATTGTGTATTCTGTTGGCTTTTTGACTGAGCATGAAAATGTAACTTCCATTAGGGAAGGGTAATTTAGGTGCTCAGTATTCAGCAGAAAACTTGTCGGGGCCATAAAAGCTTTTCTGGCTGGTTCCTCGGGTGTTTTCAGAGAAGAGCTGCCCGCCCCTTGCTGATTTTCCCTTTGGCTTCAGTAGAGGCTGAATTTACCAATGCATACCTGTTGAATCAGTTTGGGAGATCCAGCAGTTAACAGAGTGAAAGGAAGGATTAGCGGCCTTTTTGGAACCCTGTCCCAGCAACCAGGTGTCTGTCCTAACTAGTTAAGTGCCTCTGACGGTTGAAAAACCTGGTTAATGCAATGGTTGGAGGTGGGGTTTGGGGGTTTTGTTTTTTGTTTTTCTCCTCCCCACTACCATAGTAAGGCACACCTTTTCCTAAGGGACGGGTGCTATTGTTTTTGTTTTGATAGGAATGGACCGTCTCCTCCCCTCAACTCAGCTTCTGGAGATTTTTGGCTTTGTGCTTAGTCAGCACTTGATTTGATTTCAATCAATGCCAGACAATTGGGAAGCATTGTCTGGCAAAGCCTTTCACTGGGCTCTGGAGGAGGGGCAGGATGCCCACTTGGTCAATAGAGTCCCACTGAACATATGCACTGGTACCACAGTCACTGGGAGGATTAGGCTTCGTGGCCCAGGTCTTAGCTCTAGTATTCTCCTCCATGAATCAAACCATCCTGTCTTCAGGCTGCAGAAACATCATAATCACGCTGAGTATGTCTCATAGAAGAGGAGTAGTTTGAAAGGCAAACTGGCTGTAGCCACAGCAAATCTGTTTTCCTGGGTGGACCATTTCCAAGTTATAAAGGAGCCCAAGCAACGAGGATACCTGAAAAACCATCAGGCCTGAAATGCCACTTTGAATTCTCAGATTCTCTTTTATGCAAAGTGCCTGCTTGCCCAAGCTGTGGCTGAAGGCTTTCTGTGTATCCTGCTCAGGAGGTCTGTGCATTTGGAATCTGTATTTATTTATTTTTTTGGTCTCCCTGACTTTTCAATTAATACACTTTTTGAATAGATAAAACAGATCATAATGTGACTTTTCAAATGTCAACAAGCTTGTCACCAGAAATGTAATAAAATGGCTAATAGGAGATTCAATAGTTAATGGAGGGCCTGAAGTGTGAGCAAATACAGTAGCTGTATACTGGAAACTGTGCAAGTGAAGATGGTTTTAGTATTGCAAACTGAGGAAGAAAATTGTTTTTAATTAGCACCTTCATAAGAACTGCTGATTAATACTGTTTTGTTTGGTGAAAAGCTTTCAGCTGAGTAATTTGTGCAGCCATTACAACAGTTTTGTTAGAGCGGGACTCCTGTTGTTAAACACAAACAGCAGATGATAATGGTGGAAGATGAGTTTGTCATGTAACAATTTACCTTATTGAAAAAGCTTTATATAAAACCCAATACAGTAGGTACCAGCAGAAATCACATATTTTAAATCCTTCCAAAATTGCAGTGTGCTATGCTTGTAGTTCTCCCTACCCCCCAGACTAGAAGCAGATTTTATATCATTTATAAAATTATATACACAATTTAAAGGTAGCATGGACAGGCCACTTTCTCAACGGCAGTTTGCACAGGAGCAGTAAAGTGGCCATGTATTCAAACACTAACTATACAAAGCAAGGTGACAAATGGAAGCCTAATTAAATAATGTTACTCAGATGTAAATTTGCATTGGGCTTGGATGCAGGGAAATAAGAACTGGTGGTTTTGCTTGGGCTCATGCATAGGATAAAAAAAAAAAAACCTCAAGTTTAATTACCTTTTTTTCCCCCTTCTGGTGCTATTTTAACTGGTCAGAATAAACAGTTACCAGTCAGTAGACCTGACCAGGGACTAAGCCTGATTTCAGTGAACTGCAGGAGAAAATTTCTCTAGCCAGCATCATACATGGGAAACTTGGAAAATAAATACATAAAATGGTAAAGCATATTTGCATTAAAATATTACACGACCCAAGGCTGGTAAGAACTGCAAATTATTGAAGTAGCGTAATAGAGCATGAGTTTTTTTTTTTTTTTTTTTTTTTTTTAGACAGGCCTTCGGGGGTAATAACCAGGGTTGAGGCTCACGACAGTGCCAAATAAGCTTTAGACAGCATAATAGTCTGCAAAGAAAGCCACAGAGCACTAATGTGAAGGAAGAGCTGTCCACCACATGCAGCAAAAATCACCAAAGGTCATTTTATGGTAGCAATTGTGACATAAAATTGGTGGTCATGCTACATGTCTAATACTCAGCACAGCTTTATAAATGATGGGCCCCTAGCGATGGCTGTCATTAAGGGCTTTCATCATAATAAACTTTAAACTGTTGGCTTTATGAATCGCCAGCTAGCTTCAGCTGTTCGTCGGATGGAGCTTGCAGTGCCTTAAGTGTGACAAGACCTATTAGGAATTGCAACCATGTTTCAAGCGTACTTGGCTTCCCCACTCCTGGGGTGATTGCTGCCTATTAAACGGCGTCTGGGAAGATTTTCCTCCGGCAATCTCTCTGATCAAGAGCTTTTTTGGGCTTTGACCTGCATTTCCTTCAAGACTTTTTCTGAGGAGTTTTATAAGAGCAAAACTCCAGAGGATTTATAGCCACTTCTGATTAATACCTTTCCCGTTTTTCTAGCAACTCTCCCACTGCTGCATAGAGAAAAGCCTTCATTGTTCCTGAAGCGTTTATTTGTGACCTTTTCTCTGCTTCCTGATTCCCCTCTAACGTGTTCTCTCTGTGAAATCCTCGGGGTGGAACCTAGACAGTTGGTGAAGTTGTTACAGCTGGAGCGACAGAGAAGGAAAAGAGGAAGGCTTTTATATTTTTAAAGGATTACATGCAGAGCGACCTGGCCCCGCCCATTTAAATGCCTGTTGTGACGTCACCCGCAGCCCCTGGTACCAACCGCATCTTTAATGAGCCTTCGGTGTAAATTGAGCGGACACATAAAGATTTCATGATTCAAATTACACTTTCATTAACCTTTAGCACGGGAAGTCTTTTAGTTTCCACACAGTGACTTACCGGCTGTCCTGCTACTACTACGAATAATAAATGTCTGGAGACCCACTCCTTAAAAACCGAGGTATTTAATGTACGAAGGCTAAATGCCTAATTCAGGCTCACTTAGCAAGAACTTGAGATCTCCTCGCCTGTCTCCGACTTGGAGGCCCCGCCACCACTCCGTTCTGTTTTCTTCTGCTTGCTCAGATTTTCTAACGATGGCAAAAAATAAAATAAAATAAGCTTTCAGTGAGTTCCCTGTGTTAATATTCTCATTTGTCTTCCGTTTTAGTTAAGAAATGTCCTAAATGAGAGTGAAGGGAATGTCTCAGGTGTGCCCATTATACAATTAAATTAGCAAACCTCAGAGGGATTGGATTAAAAGTCAGCAGGACGCATCTGGGGACCAGGGGCCCAGAAGGACAGAGGCTCTAGCCTGCCTTGGTAGCCTCCCTCCCAAACTAGGCTTTCCAGATGAAGTTTGTGGGGTACACTCTCCCCATCCCTCTTGGGAGTAGGTTTGCACCATTGTCAGAGTGAAATCATCAGTGACTGTCGAGCCCTGAACAAACAGGCGGAGGAGCGGTGGCTTTCGGGGTACAAAGGTATGCCCGACGCACCCCGCGAGCGAGCAGGGTGGACCCGAGTCCGGACCGCGCAGGTGCAGGCGGTGGCGGGCGGACGCAGAAGGCCGGGAACAAAGGCACCTCGGGGGCCTGCGCAGAGGTCACCTGCTGCCTCCGGGGCAGATTAAGGGGGCCTAGAGAGGGCATTGGGAGGAAATGGTGCCGTGCTTCTTTGGAAAATCAATTCGTCCCACCCTTAATAGGGCATTTTGCTCCCCCTCTTCGGGAGTCGCTGGGCAGATGCGTTTCCGGGTCTTGGGATGGGGATCCCGAGCCAGGAGGCGCCGCCTTGTCCTGCCCGCGCACCCTAAAACCCCTTCTGCTCTTTGCCTCGTCCCACTTCCCTTTTCTCTTTGCTCCGGGTTCTCCCGCCTCTCGGCTCAAGGCCTCTTCCGTAATGAGGCTGGAAGTGGAACTTTCCCTCACTCCCTTACTTGATTTCTTTCTTTCTCTCCCCCCGCCCCCCAGTGACCTGACTGCACTTTGCCCCCGCTCCCGGCCTGCCAATCTCTTCTGGGTAGGGCCCCTTTCCATTCTTGAGGCTCCCCCTCCTCGCCAGCCCCGGGAGGCCCAGCCTCCTCCCCAACCAGATCTCCAGCTACACAGCCACCCCCCGCGGAGCAAGGAAGAGGCCTCCACCGAGTGAATGGCTGGTAAGGAGGTTTTTAATTTGTCTGGAGCCACAAGGAAAAGGCCTCCGGGCAGCGTCCCCCGAAGCCCTCAGCGGGCTTGGCAACGCCTCTGTGTAGGGCTCAGAGCCCCTCTGCCTTCCCGGTGGGCGCCTTCACCTCGCCAATCTAGCCCAGGTTTACGGTGACAACTGGACTGAGGGAGACAGAAAATGTTGGAGTGCTGTGTGCAAAGTCACCTCTGCCTTCCAGAACAAGGACTCTGCTTCGCCAAAGCCTCTGTTTTGCTGCTCCAAACCTCCCGACATGAGAAATTTAGAGGCTTGACCTGACGGTTCTGTCAGACAGGGTTAGAAAAGGCTGTTCAGGCCACCGCTGTCCTGATTCGCAACCTGCTCGCGGTGGCGCTCTCCTTGAGCTCCGGGGAATGTCACCAGGCCATCCACCACTGAGGACCGCGGAAGACAGTGCATTTAAAAGCTTTGCCCACCTGCCCTGTAGCCCCACCTCCAGGTACATTATCCTTCACGGCTTTATTTTTAGGAGCAGAGGCTGCGGCCCTGACTGACCCTGCTTTGACCCATCTCTCCTCTCCATCTCTGCAGCAGCAGCCCCTGATGCAGAGGGAGGGAAATGAAGCAGCCCGCACCTACTGGCTTTCTGCAGGTCTTGCTTCTCAGTCCAGCCAATTTTCCCTTCAGACCAGGACTCAGAGGGACCGGGTCACCGTTTTCAGAGTCTCCAGCTTGCAACTTGCTGGACCTCATCTCACAGCCAGGTGCTGGCTGCTCTGGCCTACTTAGCCTCCCCATTTTTCAGCTTATTACCGAAGGATAGTTGCAGTATTCTCCACAGGACACGGAAGTGTGGCACTGAAGGGAATCTGTCCAGCCCTGAACTTGTAGACTGTCAGGGAAATGGCAGCAATAATGTCTAGCTCATCCTACCAAGGAAACGATGTTCATTATGTCCCTTGATTCTGAATCTTGCTTGTTTGGGCCAACCAGGCACTAGTAATGGTTAGAAAAATCAGGGGCTTGAAAATCACTTGTGCATTGGTCTGCCATCTCTTCAAGCTTCTGGAACCCAGCTACTGTTATAGGGGTATCTACTGGAGAAGTCTATGCCGATAGACTATCTTTGTTAGCCGGCAGGTGACTACCCTAGGTGGTTGGGATCTCAGTGTAGACCTTTTTCAGGGTGAGCTTCTAAGCCCCTCCAAAAAAACATGTCCTGGGTTGACCATACTTCAGTCAGCCAGCAATGGAACTACAGAAGCCAAAAACCATGATAAGGACATTTAGAGACTTTCCCAGAACTATGGAATTTGATGGATTGGGTCTTGGGTTTCATTTTGGCAGGTGGTGCTATCCTATATGCTGTTTTATGACCTGAATGGTACTTCCATCATGGTGTCAGTTGTGCTAAGGTCTGGGGACCTGTTACACCACAATGTGAGAATGCTTACAGTGTCTTGTCACTCCCTGGAGATTTGTGGCCCAGTTAACACACTATTCATCAACAAGCCATGATGTGCATGAGCAAACAGGCCCTAGCTGCTGCCTAGCTGCATGAGTAAGCTAAGGGAGCAAGCAGAGCAACTGCATCAACCAAACCTGCCTCCTCAGAACACCCCGAACTCAAAGCGGAGTTTTTAAGCAGCTAGTCTTTGAAGGGGTAGTTTGTTACACAGCAAGAGATAACTAATACAATCAGTCAATTCTAGTCTCTCTAGCCGGGCGTTGGTGGCGCACGCCTTTAATCCCAGCACTCGGGAGGCAGAGGCAGGCGGATCTCTGTGAGTTCGAGGCCAGCCTGGTCTACAAGGTGAGTTCCAGGACAGCCTCCAAAGCCACAGAGAAACCCTGTCTCGAAAAACCAAAAAAAAAAAAAATTGCTCTGAAGCTGATGGTGGAAAGAGACTCAAGAAAAGATGGATAGAAGAGGGAAAAAAAAGGAAGAGAATCAGAAGAGCTCTGTGCTGGCCCAGTAGCAAACGGTTCTAGGCAAGCTTCCTGAGGCATCTATTTTCTCTTCCGGAACACAAGGGCCATGAACTAAATGCTTTGAAGTCTTATTTCATGCTAACTTCTGAAGTGTTCAAGAAAAAAAAAAAAGCCCTACAGTTATTGCTAGAGATTTGGGGCTCCTCGGGGAATTAGTCTCTGGTTCCATCCAGATGCTGTCAGGCATTGGCTTGCCCCAAGAGAAGAACAAATTAGCACTGCTCTGGGTGTCCTCTCCCCCAAGCTGAAGGCTGGGGAGCATTCTCAGACCCCACTGAGGAAGAAACGGGAGGGTGGTACCTGGGCTTGTCTTTACCCACTTTCTCCACTGTTTGCTGGGCACTGTGGCACAGATCCAAGGTCTGAAGATGACCCAGTGACTCTGTTACCTACGGGGCCTAGTAACAAAGGCAAAATGACTCTCTACAAGTAACTTGAAACAAATGTGCCCGTGCATTATAAAATAAGTATGTTATGCATTGCAATGAAGCCTACGAAGAACAGGGAAGGCCCACTTGGTAGGGGTGACTAGAGAGGGCCCAGCCTCAAGCAGAATGGTCATTGAAAACCTCCCTGATGGGGGCTTGCCATTGCGAGAAAGAGCCAGTCATGCAAGGGATACTAGTGGAGAACCGAGGGCAAGGAGATTGAACCCAGGGCGTTGAGCCAAGTGTACTCACTCAGCTACACCTCCAGTCCCAGATGCCCGCTCCTCAAAGGTCACTCTGAATGCTGATAGAGAACATATTAGAAGTGGAGAGTCCAAAACCAGTCATGGTGGCTCACGCCTTTAATCCCAGCACTCTAGAGGCAGAGGCAGACTGATCTCTGTGAGTTCAAGGCCAGCCTGGGCTACAGAATGAGTTAGTTCCAGGACAGCCAGAGCTGCTATACAGAAAAACCCTGTCTCAAAAAACCAAAAACAAGAAGGAAGGAGGAATCCACTGAAAAGACTCCCTTCATATAGGAGTTCTGATGAGAGCAAATAGCAGTCCTGTGGGTGACATCAGAACGAGGGGAGCAAATTGGCCCCACGTGGGCATTTAGTCAGGACCTCATAGGATTCTTGTGACTTCCTTGTAAAATTTCAGGTGAAAACGTTCCCTGCCATGGGAACTCAAGTCCTTTAGCCTCCTCCCACCTTTCCTTCAAGGCCCGAGCTGCCCTTCCCAACCATAATTGTAAGGTCTGGACTGTGCAGAGGGAGAGGAGGACAAGCCAGGGCAGTAGATGTTCCGTCGCTTGCACGTCCGGCTGTACCATGGGCAGGATGGTGGTGTAGAGAAATGGGGTCTTCACGTCCTGAAGCCTTGAGTCCTCTTATGCTCTCAGGTGGCTGGGGCAGGCTAGGACTGGGTGGAGCCCACGTCTCTCTTCCTGAAAGCTCCTAGATTCTCTCCCACATCAGCGATACACAGGAGCATCCATTCTGAGGGCACTCAGGAAAAGAAGCCAAGGGATCCCAGGACACTAACCATATGGCCCTTCACCCAAGGGCATTTGTTTGAAGAAGCTCTCTTGGGAGAGGGCATCCTCTTATGGTCTAGGTAAGCAAGACCTTACAATAGGCTGCCATTGGCTTTGTAAGTGAGACAGGGCAGACAGGAGGGGGACAATGGGACCCTAGATGAAGTGAACGTGAACCTAAGAAGTACGGAAAGGAGCAGACATGGGAGGAGCCATGTGTCAAAAAGCCATTCGTCCATCTCAGTGTTCCCTGGAGTCAGGTGACCCTCCTCATTCAATAGGGTGCATGTAGCTACCCAAGGGTCTAGGAATGGGACAGTTGTGGGTCCCTCCCACACCATGCTTACAGTGTAGTAGAGCAGGCAGAGCATGACCTCAAACATGATCCCCAGGAAAACCTCCTGGGGGGTCTCAAGGACTTTCACAGAAGAGGAGGAGGGGAGATTGTAAGAGCCAGAAGCAGGGCAGGGGGACAGGAGGGAAACAGTGTCTTCTAAGACAGGACCACTGCACCCAAATTATGGCAGCTGAAGTTGCCTGCACAAGACCTGTACAAGATCAAGCCAATGGAAATTCTAACATGGAGGGAGATGGGAGGGGCTTGTGGTTCCACACCCCTAAGCTATTGGTAGTTGATGGCTTTTGAGGGAGGTAAAGTCGGTTGTTGTTGTTGTTGTTGTTTTTAAGGGTCCCTGTTAGGTTGACCATGCTTCAGGAGTATATGAGCAGAATCAAAATGTTTTTTGTTTGTTTTAAGTTGGCGATTACATGATAGAGAGATTACATTATTGGGAAGAGGAAGAATTGTATCTTGGGAGTTACAGCACAGGGACAAGAGACATTCCAGGGTCACAAAACTGAGGAGCCAAGGCACAGGGACAGGTTCACAGAGTGACTCGGCAGAAGAGATGGTTTAAGTGAGGGACAGATGTATGCATTCAGTCAATCCACAGACATGACTCAGGGAGGTCAGGGGACATGACAGATGCAGCCAGGATCACTACAAGCTCCTACAGTAGTAGGAGAGGAATCACTGATTCATCGACAAATACAAACAGTGTGTTTGGTGGGTTTAGTGTGGGCAATCAATACTTAGGGAAGTGACTTGAGGTACAAGGAAACCCTGTTTAGGGAGGTAGCCTTTTAGTGGAAACCTCCGTCATAAGGAAGAGCCAACCTGGCAAAACAAAGAGAAGAAAATCTCAGACAGTGGCTCTGAAGGGACCAGCCCCCTGCTTTAGCAGCCATGACGTGCTGCAGAAAAGACATCTAGTCCTCTGACTCAGCACATGTCTGACCTTGCTGGGCCTGCTTTAATCACTAGGAGGTCAGACACCCTCCTCATGGCAAGGAACCAATCAGAAGTTAGCTGGCTGGACTCTGGATGTGCTTTATGGCTCTGGGCATGCTTTACGGTAAAAGTGGCGTATCAGTGATGTACAGAGCATAGCAAACAGCCCTGGGAGGGCCTATAGGCCATAGCAACCAGCTGACCAATCAACACAGGGCAGGTCATCCAAGCCCGAAAGTGCATCAATCCTGTGGCTGTTGTGGACCCCTAGACACTCCCCTTGCTCTACCCAATATATTTCCCACCTTGCAGCCCCTTGGGGTCCTCCTCATACCAGCTGCCATGATGAACCTACAAAGGGCTGGAGTTAATGGGGTTAGCTCATTAAACAATAGAAGACCCTTTGCTTTCCGCATCGGAGTGGGTCTCTTGGTGATTTGGGGGGTTCATAATTTGGGCACAACAGCCCTAGCAAGTACAAGGTTCCTGAGGCAGGCACATGGGAGCCCTACAGGCAAAGAGCCATGGGTGACAGGAGCATGGTGTGAGGAAGGGGTTTTCAGAACCTTGCAGGCCATGGTGAAGGAGTTGGATTTTGCTTTGAACAGAAGTCCCTGGGAGGATCTCAGGAGAAATAATACAGTCTGATGTATGTGCAAAAACTGGGGGAAATAGGCAGGCAGAGAGAAACGGGGAGGCCTTGGGAGAGGCTCCTAGAGTGGTTCTGGTGGGTGACCGATGACGGGAAGTCACAACTGATGGAGACTGGGAGCGTGAGAAATAAGCGTTCACTGGGCGCTTCCTCAGGAGTTTGGTCCCCCGTGTGCCTGTGCTTCTGGCTCACACAGGTACACATGGAAGTCAAGTCCCCTGAGTGCCAGAGGCTGGCCCTTCCCCTGGATTCCTCAACTCCAAAGTGCTTCTCCTATGAGGACAGGGCCCTTCCCAAGCCACTGAGGCATCCGAATACCTGGCTTGTGGGAGACACTGACTGTATCCGCTATAGGTTATTGCCAGGACATCCAGATGGGCGCGCTCCACACTCTTCCCTAAGCTGCACTCAAAAACTGATGGAAAACATCACGTGCCTCCCCCCAGCAGCCTCCAAAACTGTCTTTAGAGATCCCATTGGCTAAAAGGGGCTGATTCCAAGGACCCCACGCTGCAAGTGAACATGGGAAGGGCCGAGAAGGAAGGCAGATACACACTGTAGCACACTGTTATGTTCCCACATGTCACCTCCTGCGTAGCCTGTAGCCCAGTGACATTGTGGTCCCCAAGTCGCTTGGGAGTTCAGAGAAGTGAGTGCTCTGCCCACAGGACTGCCTGGCCACCTCTGCACTTGTACCAATTCAACCGAGGACATTGTAAGGACTCAGGCATTATGCTGGCCTGACCCTGTCACCTGGCAGAATGCACTCAGGCAGTGCCCTGGTCAGCCCAGGGTTTCATGGTTGCATAGTCCGCACGCAGGTGCAAAGGACCCTTTAAAAGACAGACTCCCGGCCACTGATGCTCTCTTTCCCGCGGTTCCCCTGGAGCAGACAGGACTTTTCCTGCCTCCTCTTCTGTCTCTCTGTCTCTCTGTCTCTTTACCTCTTTTCTCTTTCTTCCCCCCTTTCCCTTTCTAATAAACTTCTCACTAAGCTCCGTCTGCCTGGCGTGTTTGTCCCCCACCTTGGTCACCCCCACCTGCCATGGAATCTGCCGAGGTTC